ACCTCCACGGGCACAGTATGACACGAGTGCACTTACATACAGGCAATACACTCATACACATAAAAATAAAATATTAAAAAAAGAATCAGGTATCTGTTAGAAAATACTGTTTTGGTACTTCAGTGATACTGTAGTTGAAAATTACATGGTGATCTCAGACTTGCTCAGTTACCAGTGTCTAGAAAGTAAAATTAGCAAGACAAGAAGCTACCAATATCCCTCTTCCAAAAAGATACCAAGCAGTTTTGTGAGTGTGTATTATTTATAGTCCACAGAGTATGCTGACCCCTTCATAACTATTTCTGCTTACTAGCTGTGGAGTGTTTTTTGAGACAGGGTTTTTCTATGTAGCCCAGACTTGTCTCAAACATGTGGTGCTCCAGCCTCAGCCTTTCCACAGCTGGGGTTACAGGAATACACTGAAACACCTGGCTTAGCAAAGGAAAACTCATGAGACAGATAAAAAGATGTTAATTCTTTGTGGCCATAATAAATAATAATACCATACTCAGTATCCCAAAATAGTTAAATATAGTCTTTCCTTTTCTAGTAGAAGTTTGCTGAAATATCCCATATATTTGGGAACTCTTCTTGATGAGAAGGAAAGAGCCCTAAATTTCAGAGTCACTTGTCAGTAGTTGGCATTTCATACTCCATACGTTTAACATCTAACCTTCAGACTTGCCCGAAACCACAGCTTCCCCTGGAACTTCTATTCCTGCTAGTGGCAGTATTGTATCAGTTACTTTTCTTATGACTGACCAGACAAGAAGCCACATGAGGAGAAGTTTATTTTGGCTCCATCATGGGGAAGGCATGGTGGAGAATCACATTGTCTGTGGATGGCTAGAACTTGCAGGCTGGCTTGCTCAGAGCTCAGCAGATCAGGAAGCAGATAGCTTGGGCCAGAGTGGAGCTGGAATATTAGGTGGGCCCTGCCCCATGACCCTACCTGTATCCATAAGGTTCTACAACCCTTCAAAACAGTGGAACAGCTGGAGACAAGTGTTCAAACACAAGAGCCCATGGGGGGCATTTCACATTCAAGTACTAACTATTCTTTCAAACTTCAAAACCTTAGCGATTTCTTGATTCCCGTCTCTCTCTTGACTAGAGATTCAAATCCTTAGTATTTTCTTTATTCCTTTCCTCTGCTTCAGCCATTACATTCAATCTTATTACTGAGTCTGCAATGTAGTTCTCATTTTACTTCTATTTGCACCATTACCATATTAATTTAGCCCTTTTCATTGTGAGAAAATACACATAACATAAAACCATTTTATGTTATACATAGCCCTCATTGGCGTTAAGTACATTCCTGGTGCTATGTAACCACCACCACAGTCCAGTGCCAGTACTCTTGTATCTCAGTCAGACACCCATGCTACCAAGGAGCCGTTATTCACCAGCCGTAAATCTACAGACATGCCTGATTATACTTCTGAAATAAATATTTTCATTTTCCAAATGCATATGTGGCTATAGAAGGAGTACTGTATCAGTCAGAGTTTTTAATTATGTCCAGAAAAACCAATCTTGACTAGCATAAGGAGGAAAAGGAATTTAATTAGCAGTTGAAGAATCACAGGAAGACTAGGACAAGGCTTATTAACTTCTTCAACTTCCTTTGTGCCCAGTAAATTTTATGTGACTCTTCAGATAGATAGGTACAAAGCAAATGTTTACTAATCATGAAGAATTTATTTTAAAATAATTATTTGGCATACATATAATTTTGCCATTTACTAAAGATGAACAAGCTTGCATACTAATGAGATTGCATTGTTCCATTTTACATAATTCAGTCTCTGTTAGATGCTGACACTAGAGGACAGGGAGCATCTTCAATGTGTTTCAAAGTTAACTGATACTTCATTTTACAATTGTCAGTGTTGTGAACACTGCTTCGCATAGTTACAAGATGACTAGTGTGTTTAGTGACACTTCAGAAATTGTTAGAAATTCTGTCCTAACCCTAAACTAAATAAAATGAATCCTAAGCTAAAATTAATTGATTTTTTTAAAAATGAAACTCAAGTCAGCAACTCAGTCTTTGTTTTCTCAGTGCTGGGGATTGGACCTAGGAGTCCTGTCCAAGGACCCACATTCTGCAGACTCTTACTCTCTAAACTTTGGCTATTTGTAAACTTTTGTGTTACTGGCCCTCTGTTGCATGAGGGAACTTCATTGATGAGAGCTGAGAGTTGCATTAGTGTTCTCTTTACCCCTTGTTCTATGTTCTGTGAGCCTCAGGTGCAGAGGTTGCATTTAGATGTGCCACTTAGGCTTGGGAAATTCACAGACAATGTCTATATATGACTAGTTTTGAATTCTGTAATAATCTATATCTGTTGCAAAAGAAGTTTCTTTGATGAGTGGTGACTATGTACTTGTCTCTAAATATAAGCATCCATATTTTGCACATAGTAAGAAATTATATTTGTCTAGGGATGTGACAGCCTTGGGATTTTCTCTAAGATCTATGACCTTTCTAGCCATGTGTATTTGGCTATGTTTACAGTACCACACATGAGTTTCCTGTCATTGAGTGGACTTTAAGTCCAATTAGGTAGCTGTTGATTACCCCCAAGATAAAAGTGCCATTATTACACCAATGTCGTTTGCTGTGCCGGTCATTGATGTGGTTATTAGGCCTTAAAGTTGGGGTTGGACCATTGAAAATTCTTAATGGCATCCTTTACGGGGAGGAAGAAGAAAGAAGCCTCCTCTATGTGAATACATGAAAGTGTACACTCCACAAAAAGAACAGAGAAACATAGTAGATCTGGGAAAGAAACAGCCATGTCAGACACAGCAGCTCAGCAAATGTGGGAGAAGGAAAGAAACGACAGTCCGAAAATGTGAAAGGTTTTATTGTTTCTATAATAAAAACAACTGTTTCTATAAGAGCAGAAAACTGTGTATGCACAGTAAAAACACTAAAGTTCATTGTGTGCACAATAGTCTTTGATCTGAGCTAAGGTGTTTCAAGCAGTGTTCATTGGCATGGCCTGGTGTAACGTCATGCATAGTGCAGTGCATGTTGCATTGAAGTCCCACAATGCAACGTGGGCAAGCACGGCCAGAAACACCTTAGATTCTTCATGTGTTTGATTCTGAATTAATTTTTGGTTGTGTGCATTCAGAGCTCTTTTACTGTTGTCAAGTTTTTTGAGACTCCTCCATTGAGTTACATTGTAACCCATTGTTTAAGAAGCTGTGGACTAGAGAATTGGGCTTAGAAAATGGACTAGAACCCAAGGGTGCAAGGTAGCATAAAGGACTAGGGAGAGTCCTGCTCTGTGTTAGGAAGCCTGTGTTGTGCCCAGTTCGTGAGACCCCCAAGACCACCAAGGAGCCGACCGATGCAAACATACAAGGGGACCAAGCTTAAGCTTGGGTCCACTCTGTCACCCACTCAGCGGATCTCAGATGTGAGACCCCTTGCTTTGGGAGACAGAGGTTTTTATAGGTTTATATCAGCAAGTTCAGCAAGTAGGGGAGTAGGGGGGTCTCCATCCTGGCAAACATCTGATTGGCTGCAGCTCAGTGCCAAACCATAAACTGCTGGCTTCAGGAAATCTGAAAAGACATCTGGACTTTAGTACTTTCCTGTCCCTGGTTAATTGACCATTGGTAGGGGAGTTGTTCTCTATCCATTCCAAGTATTGTGGTTTTTCTTGGACAGGGCTCAGGGCTGGGTCAATCCCATGGAGGTTTTATCCAAGATGGAGTCACTCAGGCCCCTCACCTGCTCTACTTATCAAGTCTTACGCTGCTGCTGCTTTAAAGCATTTTATTACCCATAGCTTCTTTGCTGTCCTAGCTGAAGTTCAAAGTTCAAGGTAGAAACAGCTTGACTAAATCTTTGTTGTGGGTAGAAGGGAAATCTCCTTTGTGTCTTGCCTCAGAGATCCACAATATAAGGAATTTGCCCAAGGTGAAAAGGGGATTTGAACTAGGAATATCTTCACCTCCTGAAGAGATGTCTTTTATGACTATCACTAAAGTCTGTTCCTAAAGAATTCTGCAGGATGACAAGTAGTTGTGTGCTTCTGAAATACAAGGTAAACAATTTAAAAGCATCTGAGTGTTCCAGAAAGTGTATGGTTGTTTATACTTTAATGAGGTTTATGGAGTGAGCACACACCTTTAATCCCAGCAGTTGGCAGGCAGAGGCAGGCAGACCTCTTGAGTTTGAAGCTAGCCTGGTCTACATTGTGAGTTCAAGGCCAACCTGGTTTACATAGCAAGTTCCAGGTCAGCCAGGGCTACATAGCAAGATTCCATGTATTTAAAAGAAATAGAATTATGGTAGCTTATTAGAGAAAGAAATAGAATCACAGAGAATAAAGATGATTGACAGATATGTTGACAGCATATATTTTTTCAACATTTTTGGTAAGAAAAAACAATTTACATTTAAAGTATATTTGAGTTACTGTCATCGATAAAATTGGATAAAACCAAATACATATGAAATACACTATCTTAATTCTTTTAAAGCATCTCAGTGAAAAAAACTTGAAAAAAGTCAGTGTTACTAACTCAATTCTGAAATATTTGTGCTCTCACTACCTCTATATCTTATACATTTCTGTAATCCATCTCATCAATTACAGCCTTTTTAAATAAAGGAAACAAGATGATACATGAAAACTTTCCCCTTGATGTTTACATGCTAATGATAGTTGGGGAGAGGCATATTCGTGTGAACAGTTCTTTGAGGAATGTCATACTACACATGTAGATGCTTCTGGGTTGGTTTACAGTAACAATCTTAATGTTTCCATCGTAAACCGAGAAGGTAACATGGATGTGCTAGTATAGACACAGGACTTCTACAGATAAACGTTTTCATGCCCAAGCAGAACAGTTAGAAGTACCAAGTCTCCTCGAAGTTTCTGTAACCTAGCAGTGAGGGAATGTATATTCAACAGGCAGGAAGAAGTCTGTTTCCGGTTGGAGCATTCTTATTTCAGTAGTCAGGGTTCAGCTTCCAGGTTTCCAAACCCTCTTGTCCGGGACTTCATATGTTCCAGTGTTTTAAAAAATTCTTTTTTTCGTGGTACTGTGATGAAAAAATGAAGAGTTTTATTTACTGGGCTGTTTTTGTTTCCTCAGTAATTAAGAGCTGACCCGTAAAAACACAGAAAAAAGGATGTTGTCATAACCCCTTAATTGAGTATTTCAGACATATTCCATCATAGCAGAGTCCTTCTTCAGTTGTCTGTCTGTCTGTCTGTTTGTTTGTCTGTTTTTCCAAAGCTCACTCTTGGTTAAAGCAGATTACAACTTGGAAGTGGTCTGGTAACCTACCTGTCTTATGAGGCGTCCTTGCTTTGAGCTGGGATCCAGGCATCTTTGTCCTCTATGCTCTTTCAGGGTAATGCTGTCAAGGGACAATACAAAGAAGCCTTAAACTTCAGGAGGGGAAAACATCAGTGAAACAAAGTCATCCCCACTGTCATCTTCTGCAAGTCTATTACTTACATCACTTCAACTCTGTCACAACTGTTACTTGGGTAAATTACGGAGGCTTTCTCAATGTTAGCTCTTCTCACTGCTTTCATTCCAGGGCCTCTGCAAAGGCAGCGCCCCCCTTTGAACATAAGGACACCTAGAACAGATCACAGCATTGGTTAGGCTTGTATCTGCAAAACATGGCTGCGGTTACGATCCTGGTAGTGAATATGAGATACATTTCTATTACGATGTTGATAATTTTCTCTTTGAATTTGTTAGCAAACCATTACTATATAAAAGGATGCCTGTGGGCCATTTATTAGAGGTGAAGTGTGTTTGCCTCTTTTATGCATAGGAATTCTTCCAGAATCAGTTTAAAAAGTGAGTAGTTTTGTTGTAAACTGTTTATGATCCAGGCTGTGAAAGAAGGTAAGAAAGCACAGAATTCGCATAGCTCTAGAAGTCACAGTAGGTTTCACAAAGGAATTTCTGTCTTGGTTTAAAATTCATACATATATTAAAGTCTGAAAAGAATTAATGGAATATGTTAGAATTTTGTCAGATCATTGTATTTTAAAGGAGTTAGTCATAAGAAAATAGCCTACATTCTTTACTGATAAATACTGTACTTTACATTTGGTCTGTTACTGTGTTAAAGTTATTAAAACAAAATAGTAAAAAAAAAAAAATGTGACTTTCTATGTAGTTTGTCCAGATGGAAATGAAGTTGTGAATCTCTCTAGAATAATTTCCTGGTTTATGCTAATTTACCTTATCCTTGATTAATTCATTCCTTAATTTTTATTTTTAATTATTTAATTTAGGGTTTAGACAGGTCTCACTATTTGGACCAGGCTGGACTCCAACTCACTCTAAAGCCCAGAATGACCTTGAATGTGAAGCACTACACAGTCTGCCCCATTTCAGTATTATCCTGTCCCAGCCTTCTGAATGGCAAGATTACAAGTGTGTGTATGCCACCCGCCCAGCACTCGTTTTCTTTAAATAACAGCTACACAACATACAGCAACACAAAGAACGGAAGTTGCCTTTGTGAAATGGTGGAGTTCCTGCTAGTGTTGTTGTTTTCTTCTATATTTATTTTGAATAATTTTATAACTGATTAAATGGATATGTATACAAGTACAGTTTCATAGTCATCAGTGATCTTTTTTTTTATTAAATGATCAAATAACAATTCTTTTGATTTTTGTCTTTCCAAATTCAGATTATCATAAAATCATGTTATCCTTTACAGCTAAAACTATGTTTGAGAATTCCCAAACATCCCCAGGGAAACAAAGATTTGTTATTTTATTTATTTTAAAACATTTCATTTTTTAAATGTGTATGTGTGTGTGTGTGTGTTTATGTATTTCTTAATTGGCTGTAATAATTACATGAAAAGAACTATCAAATCACAAGAGATACATTTCTAGGGTAAAGCTATGAGGAAAATATTAATGTTTCTATTCAGAAACAATATTCTTTTGGAGAAGACCTATAGAGAATTATCAATATCTTCACTATCTTTTTAATATTCTTGTCCATAGTGAAATATTGATCAAAAACCTAGTGAAATAATTATGTATCATAGCCCTAGAGAGAAATTTCCTTTTCTCTATCCTGAAATTGTTGATTATTGATGATAATAAATTAATAGTCTCCCAATTCCATATAAAATGGTCTTAGCTACTAGTAAAGTCTCTTGCTAGATAATTGTCACAAAATAAAAAATTCCTTGGTTTATCATCTCTGGTTATAATAATCATGTGTAGTTCCTTAAACATTTCCAACATTTTCTGCCAATACTCTTAAGTAACTTCTCATGTATGAAGTTAAGTAAACTTACCAGATTTTAGGATAAAAGTAGGAGAAAAGACATTTGAAAAATTACAAAACCCACATACCAACTGAGAAGTGAGAAGTACCATATACCTTGAACAACTGCGGTGCAGAGTATCACAGCCAAGGCCACAGCCATGCCCTTCGTGGTCATCTTGGTGATTGTTGATGCTGATGCTGCTCCTGCTTGGGCTTTGCGGCTCCCCTTGGAGAGTAGAAAGGCTGAACCTGAAGGGAAGATCTTAATTGGTGCATCCAGAGCATTTTATAGACCAGCAGTCCCTACATGGCAATAGGAATTTCCCTTCTTGACTCATGTTGCTTTATTGCTTCCTAGAGTTTCTGTTTTGTTCTCCTGCCAGTGCCACTGTCTCTTCCTATCTGCTGGAGTAAAGAAAGTGACCCGAATGTGAAAGCACTGGGGAAAGAGTAAAGCGCTGACTCAGGGCAGAGTAGGCTGATCCTTATGGGAACTAGCCTGCTTCAGGTGGCTTTTCCTAGAAATGCTTTTAGTTGGTGGCTCTGGGCAGTGGTATTCCAATTCGCATCGATTCAGGAAGACCTTTCTGTTTTCAGTCTTCACCATCTGTCCTTCACATAACTACACAAAAGAGCATGCTAAAATGTTTTCAAAAATCACCTTTTCTTTTAAAATCTAAACCCTTTCTAGATAAAGATGTATTACTGGACACTGCTGTCCTTCCTTTAACTTTACATTTTTGTCTATAATTGCATGTCTAGAAAGTTCTTCCCATACTGCTGTACTTGCTTCTACTTTTCATTTTTTTTGTATTTAATTATTATTATTGTTTTATTTCTGTGTCTCTTTGTGTGTGTGTGTGTGTGTGTGTGTGTGTGTGTGTATGGTATATATGGGAAACTGAGAAGGCTAGAAAAGGGTGTCAGAACCCCGAGAGCTTTCCATCTAACTTTCATAGCAGACTGTGTTAGGCCTCTGTTTTTCTGTGTGACAGGATCCTATATTATAGTCAGTTTAGAAGATTGTGGGAGAGAAGACAGGAAATAAGATCTTCCTCTGTGATGAAGACCATGTGGTATGTTGTAGGGAGGATGCTGTTGATCTGTATCACCCTTGAAGAGGAGGGGCTAAGCCTACCTATGTGGGCATATGGCATCCTCTGCTTTTCTTCAGAGATCACAGTTCGAATGCTGAGGAAGGTTTATTTCATTCTTCACTTCAGGTCTTCAGATAATAGATGCAAAACTGCAGGGTTTGAGAAGGGCTGGTTTTGTGCCATAACCTTCATACCTGATTTCCTTAAATCCTACAGAAGATAAGCTTAGCCAGGCTTTGGGCAGGTGCTCACTCCTTACACACATCTTCTTTCTCTCAGTGCTCCTGTCTCACAGTTATCCTGGGAAGCACCTCCCTTTCTGCAGGAGTCGTTTGTTCATCCACTCAGTCAACAAGTGTTCTTTGGCTGTTTGGCACATCCCGGCATTCTTACAGCCATTGGCGATAGTGAGCAAAGGCAACCGAATCCTTCTTGTGTACTTTTTGTCTTACACATCTGATTTCTTTTTTTACATTAAAAAATTATTTAGTATTTTTATTTTCTGTGTATGAGTGTATTGCCTGCATGTAGGTAAAGTGCACCGGTGTTGTGCAATGCCCGCAGAGGACAGAAGAGGCTGTCGGATCCCCTGGAACTGGAGTTACAGACAGTTGCTAGCTGCCATGTGGGTGCTGGGATTCAAACCTGGGTCTTTTGCAAGAACAGCCAGTGTTCTTAACCTCTAAGCCGTCTCTCTAGCCCATATACATATCTGATTTCTAATGGGTCTACAGATGCCTGGGGCAAAGAGGGCCTTCAGTGTTAATGAGTCTGACTTGTTCTACCTAACACTCTCTGGTATCACATGAGAAAGAATTTCTTCCGAACATTCCCTCATCTTCTGAGTCTGACAGCTCTTCTTTCTGTTTACAAAAGTTTGTTCTTGAAGCATGGAATGCCTCTTTTATCTCTTTTTGAATCCTTTAGGTCATAGTATCTTCATGAATTTGCTTTTGAGACAGTCTCTTGCTGTGGAGTGCAGGGCTGGCCTAACTTATAGATTCCAAGTGCTGAGAGTAATGGCCTGAGCCACCATGACTGGGGCTTTTACTTTTTAAAAATTATTTTATTTTATTATTTTTATTTTCTGTGTATGAGTATATTGTCTGCATGTGTGCAAGTGCACCTGTGTTGTGCAAGGCCCGCGGAGATCAGAAGAGGGCATCAGATCCTCCGGAACTGGAGTTACAGACGGTTGGTTGTTAGTCGCCATGTGGTGCAAGGAACCGGACCTACGCCCTCTGTAAGGATAGTCAGTGCTCTTAACTGCTGAGCCATCTCTCCAGCCCACGTTTTTACTTTCTGAAATAACATCTTGATATCATATTACATAATTTTTTTCTTCTAACTTAATAGAACTCACTGTCCTTGTCTTGCTTTACCCAGACATATAATGTAGACCATATCTGTAATTGCAAATATCCTAACAGCCACATTTAAAATTGTGTAACTGTATTAATTCAACTGTGAACCTAGAAACTTACAGCCACTTGTGAAAGAGATGTACTCTTGCTCTGGAGTGTGTTATTGAATATGTTAAAGCTGTAATGAAATGCTTCTTCTAATCATATAGTTATTAAAAATAAAAAAAAATAAATAAAAATATAAAAACTTTAAAATATTAAAAATAAACAAATGAAAAGAATTTAAGGAATATATTTTATCTAATCCAAAATAAAAGATTATTTCACTGTCCAATCAATATAAAACATTAAATGAGATTTTATTTTTATTATTAAGTCTTCAAATTGAACTAGTCATACGTCAGATGCTTGGTACTCAGTAGTCATATGTGCATAGTACATACCATACTGGACAGGAGGCTCTAGTTACTGTATTCATTTGGCATTTAACATATACTGCCTTGATGCTTAATCCAAAACTAAGTTGGGACTGAAGAGGACAACATGCTATGATTTTGTTTTTAAAAAAACTTCTTTAAATTTCCCTAATAGTTTTTTTTCCCTGTTTATTGATGCATTATATCTCATTATTCTTTAAGTGAAAAAGGATTGAACTACATTTTCTTTTTTACAAAGATTTATTTTTTTAAAAAATATTTATTTATTTATTTATTTATTTGGTCTTTTTGAGACAGGGCCCCCCTGAAGCCCCAGCTGTCCTGGAACTCACTATGTAGATCAGGCTAGCCTTGAACTCACTGAGATCCTCCTGCCTTTGCCTCCCAAGTGCTGGGACTACAGGCATGCACCACCACGCCCGGCTATTATTTTTACTTTATGTGTACGAGTGTATTACCTGCACTTGTTTATTTTTTTGAGACAGGAACTCCTATGTAGCCCCAGCTCACCTGGAACTCACTATGTAGCCCAGGCTGGCCTCCAACTCACAGAAATCCACCTGCCTCTGCCTCCTGAGTGCTGGGATTAAAGGTGTGTGCCACCATGCCTGGCTGTTTTTATTATTTTAGTTATGTGTATGCATCTGTACCTGTGGGGGGTTGGTATGTACACATGAGTGCAGGTACACTTGGAGGCCAAAGGTCTTAGATTCTGGATCTGGAGTTACAGGCAGTTTTGAGCCGCTCAACTTAGGTGCTAGGAACTGAACTCAGATTCTCTGGAAGAGCAGTACATGCTCTTAACCACTGAGCCATCTCTCCAGCCCCCTATACTATATTTTCTATCTTTTTAGTACTATAGAACTTTTTAGTTAATTCTCAAACTAGACTATTTTCTGTTGTGTATTCTCAAAGAAGTTTCCCCTTAAGCCTAAATATCTAATTTTCATAATCAACAAAGTCCTTTCCAGCTTAGACATTCTGTAATTTGGGCTGGAGAGATGGCTCAGCGGTTGAAGAGCACTGACTGTTCTTGTAGAAGACCTGGGTTTGAATCCCAGCACCCACATGGTTAACTGTCTGTAACTCCAGTTCTAGGGGATCCAACACTACTTTCTGTCCTCCATGGACACTGTATCACATGGGTTCACTTCAATAATTCTGTAATCTGTGTATCCTGGTTAGCTTTCTGTTGCTGTGATGACACCATGACCAAAAGCATTTGAGATGGAAAGGGTTTCTTTCAGTTTAGAGGTTACAGTCCTTCATTGAGGGATGCCAGGGCAGGAGCTCAGCAGGAACTGATGCAGAGACCATGGAGGAATGCTGCTTACTGGCTCACTTTCTGGCTAGGTCCTTGCTGGCTTTTTTATATAGCCCAGACCACCTGCTGGAGGAATAGTTCCACGGACAGTGGGCTGGGCCCTCCTACATTAATCAGTAATAAAGACAATTCCCCACAGACATGACCACATGTTACCAGTCTGATAAAGGAAATTCTTTACATGAGGTTCCCTTTTCCCAAGTGACACTAGGTTTGTCAAGTTGACAGTAAAAACTAACCATCACACTGTGATCCATTTGAACTTTTAGTAACATTCCTGAATTATTCAGTTAATGTAGAATGTTAAAACATTGGGGCTGAGGATTCAGCGCAGTAGTGGGGCACTTGCCTAGTGCATCTACAAGGCTCCATGTTTGATCCCTAGTAGTTCCTCAAAATAGTTTTCAAATTTGAAGAGATTAATGCAGGTCATTTAAATATAATTCTAACTCACTGTTCAGTGGGCTTCTCAGTAACTTATTGACTCCCCCCAACTAAAGTCAATTCCAAAGATGCTTTCTTCAGTTCGGTTAGTGAAAAGCATATTAGAAATGGAAACTATAATATTTCCACTTGTTACAAACCAGCACGACTTAACAAAATCCTGTTTTGAGTTTATGGAAGGCAGATGACTCACTCCTATGGACAAGGTTGCCAGACACCTAAAATAACACGACTAGACTGAAGACGTTTATGTAGAAACACAGACTCTTAAAACTACAGCAGTATGATACCTACTGCTCTTTAATAAAGCAAATAAAATCATTTTAGGGAGCTCCCAGTAAATTTTTAAAGCTGTCAATGCAATAATACTATGATTTTCTTATAATATTTAAAAAATACTTGTCCCAGAAGTCAGAAAAATCCTTCATACTATATTCAAGGTAGCTGTTAGGCATTGAGTAAGGTTATATGAAAGAAAAAAGCTAAACAGAAGCTTGAAATAAATTGTATAAGCCCCCAAATCCATTAAAGCATGTGGGAAAGTGTGTGTTTTGTTGTTAC